CGGCTGCCAAGCCCCCCTCCAGGTGGAGCCCACCCTCCTGCCTCCCTTCCCTTGCAAGTGGATGAGACCCTCAGAGAAAAAAGAGCCGGGCTGGGGGAAAAGACCATGTGGCCACATCCTGAGTGTTCTGTAGAGGCGCCTGCTCCCCCGCCCCCCACGCAGCTCACAAAGCGACGCCCGGTCCCCGCGCACAGTACCCAACAGCCAGCCCCAGGCGTCACCTTCCCATGAGCACGAAGGACATCCGCCATCGCCCGCAGGGACAACACCGAGACGCGGGCCACGGACAAAAAAAGCCTCTGCTCAGTGCGGGGACCGGTTTGCCTGGCGCCCAGCATTTGCTACAACTTCCACTCCCTCCCAGGGCCCCCCGGAACCTCCCTCCAAATCTCCCCGTGGGACCGGGCTAGGTCCACAGGGCAGGGGTTAAAGGGGAACAGAGTGAGCCGCACCCCAGACAGCCTGGGGCCAAAGGGGCAGGGAGGGCCCAGGGCCCAGGGCCCAGCCCCCAGCCCCCAGCCCCCGCTGCAACCCGGGTTGCAAGTCGAGGAAAGTGACACCGTGACCAGCTCTGGGACTCACCTGCAGAGCAAAACGGAGCCTGTGCCCCCGATACCACTGTGTCCCCCGCCCCAGGGCCGGATGCCCGTTAACCAAGGAACCGACGCTACACCCGCCGGCGACGAAAGGGGCGTCGATGGAAACGCCGGCAGAGTCGGGGGCAGAAACGTTGGCTCAGCAGCCGTCGGCACCGCGGTGCAGGAGTCAGCGTCCCGAGTCCCCCGAGCCTGTGCTCTGCAAACCACTGAGTCCCGCCCGGAGCCCACGCTCCCAGCAAACCACCCGCGGGCACGGGGAAACTCACCCGCTTGGACTTTTTCACGCAGCCGGCTGCCGGAAATACCAGCATAAAAAGAAACAGACTGCAAAACACACCCCTCCGACCACCACCTTTTATATCCCCCGCGCTCCGGTCCCGCGGCCCCAGGGACGCGCGAGACCCCTTCCCGCCCGGAGAACCCGCCTGGCTCCGCGCCTGGGTCTCGGGCCCGAGCGGGACCAAGAAAGCACACCCGTCACGTCCTCTCGTATCAAA